GAAGAGCGCAATGAGGTGCCAGCTTGGGCCAGTGAAGCAACATCCTCCACAACTATACTGAAAAACAAAACAACAACTTGTCTACCTGTCTGTTCCCCTTCCCCGATTCCCAACGCTGTGGCTGGGCTAGGACTTGAACCCAACTGTCTTATTCCAGATTCTGTGCACGGCAGCCACATGTTCCTGGATTCACTGATGAATGGAGCATAGCACAGTGGTCCTCAGACTTGAGCGAGCATCAGAATCATCTACAGGGCTTGTTAAAACACTGATTGCCAGGTCCCACCCCAGAGTTTCTGATTCAGTCGGTCTAGGGTGGGGGCCCGAGAATGTGCATTTCTGATGAGATCCCAGGGATGCTGACACTGTTGATTCAGGGGCCACACTTGGAGAACTACTGACTTGATACAATGAACAAGGCAGCTGCGGTGGGGAGACCTGGGTTGGGGCTCCGGCCCTACCTTTTTTCCACCTCTGTGACCATGGCAGGTCACACTTGGAGCCTCTGATTCCTCATCTATGAAAATGGGGATAATACCAGTAATCTGCCTCAAAGCTTACTGGTGAGGATCAAATGCAATAACAACATGGAAGTGTCTGGCTGCTGCCTGCTGCTTAGTGAGTGGGTCCTCGCACTCTCTCCTTCCTGTTCTTCCTCCTGAAGTGGTCCTGTGCAGTCCAGGGTCTCAAGCTCGTCTCTCTTAGTGATTTGCCCTGTGTTGTCAGGAAAGTCACTTTCCCACTGTAAGCCTCAGGTTCCTCATCTGTGAAATATCATCAGCAGTTAAACTGGATGGCCTCTGAGATCTTGTCCAGGTGGGGATCTTGGGAATGCAGGAAGCCAGGTGACCCTGCCTTGTCCAGAGTTTCAAATGCCAGACCCCCGTCCAGCAGGTCTTCCTGGCTCTGGAGAGCCTTAGCGGACTGCTCCCCCTCCCCTATCCCCGGGCCGTGGTGCACTACTCCTGCCAGGAGCTGTGCCGCCTTCTCTACCTGCTCATCCCGCTCCTGGAGCGAGGCGACGAGAAGCACAAGATCACTGCCACCACTTCTTCGTGGAGGTGCGGCCTGGGCACTGGGTGTGTGTGGGGGGGCAGCTCCCACGTCTTCCCCCGAGCAAAGGCCTCAGTTCATGTTACTGGTCTTTTGTCCTGTGCAAACAGTGCTGAGCAATTTACAGTTGTGAGCATGATTTCTCTTGACCATGAAGACCTCCCTCCTCCTTCCCTTTCCTCTTCTTCTCTCCACCCCTTTACCCCACTCTGCTCTTCCCAGACTCCCCTAGTGCCCCAGGCAACCACCATCCTTTGCTGGACACTGCTGTGTGCCAGGCACCAGATTGGGGATACAAGTATAAATTTGACTCCACTCTGCCCTCAATGAACTCTTGGTGTAACAGAGGAGACAGAGAACACCCTAATTATAACAGGATGTCAAAGAGTGACGTGAGCTATGAGGTGGGCAGTCCAGGCTACGTTGGGATAACAGGAGATGTGAGGTGGTAGGAGCATGAGAGAAGGCTTTCTGAAGGAAGTGGGTACTGGGGGAGGGGAGTGCTGTGGAGAGTGAAGTCAGGAAAAGATTGATAGGGTCAGACCCAGAAGGGGAGACTCACCAATAATAACAGCTAACATTTATTGAGCAGTCAGTACCTTCCAGGCACATTCTAAAGCTTTACACATATACACATGTATATAATCCTCATACTAATCCTATGATGCACATATCATTCTATCCCTCAATTTAGAGGAGGAAACTGAGACACAGATTTAAGCAGCATTTCCAAGGCCTCGCAGCCCGTAATGGCAGATTTCAGGATTTAAATCCAGATCATCTGGGCTCTTAAAACAAACACAATCTCTCGCTCTCTCTCTTTTGATTGTGTATGTGTGTTGGGGCGGGGTGTGTGTGTGTGTGTGTGTGTGTGTGTGTCTGTAAAATACATATGCCATAAAAGTTACCATTTTAACCATTTTTAAGTGTATACTTCAGTGGCATTAAGTGCATTCATATTGTTGTGCGACCATCACCGCCGTCTATTTTCAGAACTTTTTCATCATCCTTCCCAAGCTGAAACTCTGTACCCATTAAATACTAACTCCCCCGCCCCTTTTGCCCTGGCCCCTGAAACCACCATTCTACTTTCTGTCTCTGTGAATCTGACTATTCTAGGTTTTATATAAGTGGAATCATATACTATCTGGCTTATTTCACTTAACATAATGTTCTTATGGTTCATCCATGTTGTAGCATGGGTCAGAACTTCATTCCTTTTTAAGGCTGAATCATAGTCTGTTGTATGTATATACCACATTTCGTTTATCCATTCATCTGTTGATGGATACTTACAAAACCCATTCTCTTAACCCACCCTTGTGTGCCTCTTGTGACCTACTGGTTGTCATGTAGTGGGTCCGAGCTATCATCAGGGTCTGTACAGTGGAGCTCAGAGGCAGAAGGCTCACTGTCTGCTCCAACAGTAGGAAGTTAAGGGAGGCTTCCTGGAGGAGGTGCCATTTGAGCTGGGCCTTGAGAGGTGAGCAAAGTTTGCCAGATGGACAGGAGGCAGCATGGCTTTCCAGGTATTTCTTGAATCTTTTCTGCCTCTCCAGTTGGATTGTGAGTCTGAGGAGCAGGGACCAAGTCACATTTGCATTGCCTCCCCAGCCCAAGCCTGAGAGAGCCCCAAGAAGTGGGGGTTAAATGGATAACAGAGGGTCTGAATGAACACTTTCACACTCTGGCGCCAGCAGAATGTGTCGCCTCCAGGACGAGTCTGAGTCTTGGGGTCAGGAGTCCTGGGTTCCATCCTCAGCTCTGTTGGGCTCTCCTTTTAATTTATTTCCCACATGGCCCTCATGAAGAATGGGAAAGTACCATTCCTTGAAGGCCTACTATGTGCCAAACACTGTGCTGACCTCTTTCATATGTTAATTACCCCCACCAATCTGCACAGCAGTGCTGCAAAGAAAGACTTGTAGTGCTCAAGTTTAGGTGAGGTCAGGGGCATTTTTCAAGGCCACACAGCTCATGCAGTCCAGAGAGATTCAGACCATATCTACCTGACTGGCTCCTCTACACCAGTGAGCCTTGTGGGAGAGGTACTTCTCTTAGTCTGTTAGTGGCTGCTACACGTGTGTTTGGGGGAAGTGGTGGAGGTTGGACCTTGTCAGATCTCAGGGGATGCTCCCATGACTACCACAAGGTCAAAGACTCTAGACTTAGCCTTTCCCAGCATTCCCCTGGAACCCTGAGCTGTGACCCTCGGTCCCTGGAGCAAGTGTCCTCCCCCAGGTTCAGTGCTTCTCCCACTCCCCAGAAGAGATGGCCTTCTCCTGGCCAGAGCCAGGCCTGCCACATTCATTGTGGTGCTTTGATGTAGCTCAGATGTCCGTCGCTGGCTACCCTAGCACTCTATGCTGTGATTGTCTTGTGTATGCTTGCTTCTCTCAATGGTGAGTGAACTTCTCCAGGGAGCTGTGTTACCTTGGGCAAGTCACTGCACCTGCTTGTGCCTCAGTTTCTTTACCTGTAATATGGGGCTAATGAATTGCCCATCTCATAGGGTTTTGATGAGGATTCTGTGAGTACATGTAGAGCACTCAGAACAATTCCAGCAAATGAGACGTGGTCTCTAGGAGTCAGCTCTGCTGCTATTATTATTAGTATCATTACTCTTTAATGTGTCAATAGTGCCCAGCCCAGAACCTGGTGCAGAGCAGACCTGAGTGTCTGTTGTATTGATGGGTGGAGGGTGAGCTATGGGTGGGGCCCTGCCTTTCCTGTTCCTTCTCCCCAGCTCTCTCTTCTTATCATACAGACACGTGGTCTCAACAGTTACAGTAAGTGTAGGGCACGGGAACAGAAGGGAGAAGTGATTGTGAGGACGACTAGGCAGAAATTGAAGACACATGGCTGTGGTGGGTGGGAATGTGATAAGGGAGAGGGAGTAGATGAAAGCGATGCCTGCTTGGGGGCTGGGGCATGGTGTGGGGAGGTGGGGGGTTGGTAGTGCTAATCCTGCAATGGGCATGCAGGAGGAAGCACAATTCTAAGGAGGAAAGCAACCAAATTTCATGTTTTGTGCAACAGTGTTACCTAAGCACATATTCCATATCAGAGTTTGCATTAGGTAACGGGGACCCAAGGAAAAACACTCATTTGTGTCCTCAAGGGCACCCCCAGTGGGATAGGGGAGGCAGATGCATAAGCAGATGGGGGCACCAAGGTCTCTCTGTTCAGGGCTCCCAGGGACCCAGAGAAAGGGGTCATCCACCTAGGTGAAGCGTGGGGGCAGTTAAACATGGCTTCACAGGGGGCCGGATTTTGGATGGGGCCATGTAAAGTGAGGGGGGCTAGAGTGGAGGTGGGTGCCCAGCAGAAGGGCATCACGCCCGGACTGAGGGGACAAAACAGCCTGCGTCATTCCACAAACAATGAGTGGCTTGGTTAGAAGGCATGAATGAGGCCCCAGAGCAAGCAGGTGATGAGGACACGGGGGGGGGCGGGGGGGCTCTCAGCTGGAGAGTGACGCATTCAGCTCTGACATGAGGTGCTGATGGACATTGAGTGGGGATGTCTGATGAACTATTGGTTTTCTAAGGTGGAAGCTCTGGACAGAGGCTGAGCCAGAGATGGAGACTTGGGAGTTATTAGCTTAAGGACAGCAGTTAAAAATCCTGAGAGTGGGGGGCTTACCAGGAGAGTGAGCAGAGAAGACAGGGTTCAGGGCCGCCACCTCCGAGCGCTGGGTGGAAACAGAAGAGCCAGTGGCTATCATGAACCAGACCTGTGCTGGTCAGTACGATAGCCACCAGCCACACAGGGCCTATTTGGCCCTTGAAATGTAGCTCTCTGAGTTGAAATGTGTTGTAAGTATAGAATTCACACCAGGTTTCAGACTTGGTTCAAAATTCTTTTAAGTATAAAATATATCAATTTTTATATTGATTACATGCTGTAATGATATTTTAGATATATTGGGTTAAATAAGATGTATTATGAAAATTAATTCTACCTATTTCTTTTTTAATGTGGCTGTTAGAATATTTAAACGTATGCATGTGGCTCTCAGTGGACAGCGCTGACCAGACAGCAATCGTTCACGCCTCACGCTCAGCCCCTGGTCATCTAGCATGTACTACCAGTGCATGGGGAGCCCGGAAGAGGGGTGCCTGCCCCTTTGGCCCAGGGAATAATTACTGTTACTCTTCAGCTCCTCCAGATGGAGCAGGTGCGTCGGATCCCTGAGGAGTACTCTCTGGGGCGGATTGCAGAAGGCCTGAACCACCGCAACCCCATCCTGAAGGTGCTGTCCATCCGAGGCCTGGTCATCCTGGCCCGCAGGACCGAGAAGGTGAGCGGAGGGCAGAGGAGAGCCCGGCCCAGCCAGGCCTTGGGCTGGTGGAAGGATGGAGCTGGCCAACTCTCAGATGTGATGGCTGGAATCAGAGCCCATGTCAGTCCCTGCCTCAGTTGTCCCATCTGTAAAATGGATATCTCCTAATAATTCCCTACATACTTTATTTTTTTTAAGTAGTTTCCAATCCAGTATTTCACAATGGCCCTAAAGGCAGTGTGTATAGTAGGGGCTGGTGAATGCAGTCATTTTTACTGTTTTACAGTTTAGGAACCCAAGGCCAATATTGTTGTGGCATTGTTAGCATTTAAAAAAGTGCTTTGATTTTCTCTACCAGTCATTGTTGCAGCTTATGATGTATATAGTGGGATGAAAGGACAGGGCACAAAGCTAACTAACAATACAAGGAAGCGAGTAGACAGCAAAGGGCCTCAGGTATCCAGGCTAGGAAAGACTCAATGAGGCCAAAGTGGGCTTAGGGGAAAGCAAGCGCTTGAATGAGGGCATTCCAGGCAGAGGGGACGGCATAAGCAAAGGCCTGGGACTTATTTCTCCAAGTTCTCAGTGAATCAGAGGCTGGGTCTTCCACCTGTTAGCCTAGGTAGGAGCCCCCCTCCTAAATGCTCCTGCCCCTCAAACCGCCAAGCTGCGGGCACTCCTGCCCTCCGTGGTGAAGGGCCTGAAGTGCGTGGATGGGCTGCTAATGGTGGAGGCAGGCCACAACCTCAAGGCCATCTTCAAAGGGTAGGAACGGAAGCTGAGTGACAGCTCAGTCTATGTGGAGACGCTGCAGGTCCTGGGGCCACACTTCAGTGATGTAAGGAACCCTACTGGGATTGGGAGTGGGAGGGGTGCGGTCAGCACATGGGGGGTCGTTCTATACTACCCTGGGGGCTGCAATAGCTCCCATGGCCCGTTGGGACCTGGGCAGGGCCCAGTCAGCCCAGGGGAAGGGGCACCTTGCTCCCGGTGGTCCAAGTCTTTCCTTTTCTAGTTGGTTCTCACAAGGGAGCTTTTTTTGTAATTAAGTCTCCCAGGGGGTGCATTATTGGTCCCGGGAGAAGGGGCATTTGTTCACTTGGCACTAAGGCACCTTTAGGTGAGCAGGAGCCCTGGCTGGGAAGAGTGGATGGAGCTCTAGACCTAGGCTCTGGTGAGAGGGATGCCAGCCCCAGGTCAGCCCCACCAGGTGGCCTCCGCTCTTCTCTGCCTCTGGGCCGGTTGGGCCTGGAGAGCCCCATAGAATGAGTGGGAGGAAGGTCATGGTGCCCCCACGTGGAGCTCAAAGGCCCAGGCAGCCTTTTGGAGGAGGGAGCGTGCCTGAGCCTCCGGGTCTGTCCTAGTCACGGGAGGACGTGCGCTCCTCCTGCATCAACCTGTATGGCAAGGTGGTCCACAAGCTGCGGTCCCCCCGTACTCCGGCCATGGAGGAGCAGCTGATCAGTGCCTTAGTGCCCCTGTTGCTGACCGTGCAAGGGGGCAGTGCCAAGTGGGCCAGGTGCGTGTGCACAGGCCCTGGGCTTTGTGGAAACGGATCCAGAATCACTAACAATCTATTGAGGGAAGTCTGTTTTCCAAAGGCACCCATGTCAGGATTCCTCCTCAAAACAGCCAACGTCACTTGTCCATTTCAAAGAGGAATGGATTTTCCAAAATCCAGTTCCACATAACTTTTGTTTCTGGAACATGCTCTGGCTGTCCTGGAATTCCACAGCTCTGGTATTCTCTTCCTATCGGTTCCCAGAGCTGCGTGAAGACCTTGTTCCGCTGTTCTTGCTTCACGGCTTGGAAATTGCCAAAAAGAGCTTATAGCCGGAAGCCCTGGGACAACCAGCAGCAAACCGTGGACAAAATTTGCAAGTACCTTGTGAGTGATCCCAAGACTACAGTGGTTCCCTATGAGTATGTTGGAGGTGGGCAATTCTTTCCTTTCTTTTTACATCCTATCAGTTTCATGATCACCCACGATTTGTTGGCTTCTGAATGTTTATCACCATCTCTGACTTCTCTCCTCATGCCTAGTGCTCCCTCTCCAGTGGCTTACTGACACCTCTGAGCCACATGCACTGCAGGCTCAGCATGTCTGCTCTGAACTCTGGCCTTCCCGTTTCAATTCTGCTCTGTCCCTTTAGATCTGCAAAGCTGAAACCTAGAATCATCCTTGACTCCTTTATCTCCCTCACCTTCCATATTGCATCAGTCTTAAATATCCCAAATATCTCTGAATCTGTTTTCTGCTCCCATCCCCACTGTCATTGCCTGTAGTTTAGGTCATGGATGCGTCTCAGCTGGGCCATGGGTCCAGCCATCTACTGGGTCTCCCAACCTTTAATTTCATCTTCATGGACCATCCAGGTCACCAGAGCGCTCTGGTTAAAATACACGTCTGTCTGTGTAATATTCCTGCTTGAAGACTTTACTGGCTCCCTTTTCTGTAACAGTAGTTCCCAAGTGTATTGTCTATGACACCAGTCCTATTAGATATGCCCCACAGGGGAGAAAAGAAGTTGTAAGACAAGTAAGTTTGGGAAATACTGCATTGTCATCTTCTTCGCGGAGATTTGAAATGTCATCAGCTTATTAAAGGCTCTGAGATTTTCTATGCTGAGGAAATATTTCATGGTTGTTTATTTCATGTTTTCCCAAACTTATTTAACCACAGAACCTCCTTTCTAGGTAACAGCTGAGAACATCCTAAGTAAGGTAGGAGTGAGCCACAAACACACAGTCAAACGCTGCAGTGCCAGACATAGCCCAGTTCCTCCATATAACATTTGGGAAGCTTTGCCATCCAGTCCCATCTACCTTCCCTGTTGTCATGCACTGAGTTCTCCAGGATGCAGACTCTGAGACAGAAATTAGCATGCAAGAGGTTTATTAGGCGTGGAAGGGAGGGCAGGGAGCAGGAGTGCAGAGGGTGAAGTCAAGCTACGGTGTAGCTTCAGGGGAGGTCTCAGCCAACACTCTGTGAGATTCCCCAAATCGGGGCCAGGAGTCACTGGATGCCAGCCACCCTGGGAAGGGATGTGACCTTGGCCCAGCAGTTCTCTTCAGCTGAGACAATCCCCATCACTGAGGGAATAAATATTTCAAACCCAAAGGGAGATCTTGGCTTGGCATGCCAGCATCCCCTACACCAACCTAACAAAAATAGACAAAGTAACAGATTGCTACTAGGATTGAGAAAAAGGCTCAAATGCATTATCAGTAATGTTCAAAATCTCCTCAGTACGGAGCACAGTGTGGCGGCTGAGCGCTGGCACTTGCGGCTGGTCTATGCAGACACCATCAAGGACCTCCTGGCCAACTGTGCCATTCAGGACGGTGAGTAGCTGGGGCTGGGGAGGGTGCCTGGCCTCCTGCATGCCTCCCTCTGCCCTGGGAGCTGAGTTAGCCGTGCCCTCCAAAACTAAGATGGAAGAAGAACAACTTGGCTGTTCCTCATCTCTTCCTCCCCCGCAAAAAAAATAAGGCCCAGGAAAGGAAATGACTTGTCCAAGGTCACACAGCTAGTTGATCCAGAAACAGGACAAGATCATCAACTCCAATTCCAGGCTCAGTTCCTTCCCTGAAGGCTCAGAATACCCTTGACCCTGACCCCCACCTAACATAACTAGTCCCCCACCCCACCTCCAGTAAAGGACAGCAAGGGCTAAGCATAATGAGGGATGACTCGGGAATTTCAGGAACTAAGGGTGGGGGAAGGAAGGCTGAAGAAGTGGGTGGGACTCCCTCCTAGGTTCAGACCAAATAATGGCCAATTTGCTGAATTTACAGTTTTCCAGTTTTTATGGATATGTACACGAATATGTTATTTTTGAATGTAGTGAATGGCTGAATATAAATGTTATTCTTGTGAACACATTTGTTCCCCAAATTTACTGATTCTTCATATGAATATCCTTTCGCATTTAGTCAAGGAAGACAAATTTGTTCTTAGGAAAACCACTACGAATTTCAGTGTTTAATATGAGAATGTTACACTGAAACTGGGAATATTTCAAATCCCTTCGAAATCATTTTCTGTTATGCCAATACTGTATTTTGGGGTGTGGGGGCGTGTTCTTTCATCATTTCACCATGCCTTATTACGAGGATCCATTTTCTTGAGTCTATCCATAAGGAAGACCTGTACATTTGGAAATTCAGTGAGTAGGTCGCTTGATTTTTGACAAATTGGATTTTCCCCTCCTACCCCCACCTGTCCTCACCTCAGCAGGTCCTCTTGTAACTGTTTATACACCAGTTTTCAGCTTCAGGTTTCTTTGCGAAAGGGCTGTGCTGCTTTAAAAAGCCCTGGTCTAGGTGACCCCGGGCCTGCTGGCAGTGCTGTTCAAGAAGCCTGAGGGGTGATAAGGTGGTGAAGGCTGCGGGGTGGTGGCGGGGCTGGGCCTATGGTAGGAAGGCTTCTTGGAGGAGGTGGGCTGGTATGGGCCATGAAGGCCAGACCAGGTCTTTTTTATTAATTAATTAATTAATTAATTATTATTAGTTTCAGGTGTACAAAACACTGCAATAGTTATCCTTTTACTTCCCTTGCCCGTGGGGATGTATCAGTACAAATATTGCTCAGGGTAATGTCTGCAAATTTAGACCCTATATTTTGTTCTAAGATTTTTATGGTTTAAGGTCTTACATTTAAGTCTTTAATCCATTTTGAATTTGTTCTTGTATATGGCGTAAGGAGGTGGACCATTTTCATTTTTTTTGCACATATCAGTCCAATTTTCCCAGCACCGTTTATTAAATAGACTATCTTCACTCCAATGTAAATTCTTGCTTCCATTGTCATAGACTAACTGTCCATATATGCATGGATTTATTTCTGGACTCTCTATTCTGTTCCATTGATCTATGTGCCTGTTTTTATGCCAGTACCATACTGTTTTGATTACTGTAAACTTGTACTATGTTTTAATGTCTGGTAGCATGATACCCTCGACTCTGTTCTTATTTCTCAGGATTGCCGTGGCTTTTGGGGACTTTTTTGGTTCCATATAAATTTTGGGATTATATTTTCTATTTCTGTGAAAAACGCCCTAGGTAGTTTGATAGCAATTGCATTGAATCTATATATTGCTTTAGGCAGTATGGACATTTTAACTATATTAATTCTTCCTTTCCATGAGCATGGTAGGTATTTCCATTTGTTTGTATCTTCTATTTCTTTCTTCAGTGTCTTCTAATTTTCTGAGTACAGATGTTTTATTTCTTTCATTAAATCTATTCCTAAGTATTTTATACTTCTTGAAGCCATTGTAAATGGAACTGTTTTATTAATTTGTCCTTCTGACAGTTTATTATTGGTATATACAAATGCAGCTGATTTCTGAATATTGATTTTGTATACTACTACCTTACTGAATTTGTCAATCAATTCCAATAGTTTTTTGATGGAGACTTTGGGGTTCTCTATAGTATCATGTCATCTGCATATATGACATTTTTACTTCCTCCTTACCGATGTGGGCCTTGAAGGCCACCCAGACCTTGATACTTGTTGGGATTGTGGGGGAGGGGCCTAAAGGGAAGGGGAGCCCTGACCGCTTCCCCCCACCCTGCGCACAGCCACCCTGATCCTGAGGCAGCCTCCGAGGGTGAGTCGGAGAGCAGGGGAGAAGATAGTGGGTCTGGACGTGGTCATGCATACCTGTGTGGATGTCCTTTGGTGTGTGTGTGTGTGTGTGTTTTGGTGTAAGACTATGTATGTATAGGCGCGTGAGTGTGGTGTGCCCCAAGCCTGAGGGGCACACCTCTGGCACCTGACAGCTGAGCACATTCCAGCCCTATTGGCTCTGTGGCCGTGGGCAGGTTATTTCTGAGTCTCATCCCTTCCTCTACATAAGAATACCTGCTGCCGGGCTTTTGTAGGGTTAAACTCGTAGTACATATGAAGCACTTAGCGTAGTGCCTGGTACATGGCAGGCGCTCACTGAATATTCAGCACAACCCATGAATGATCACACGCCTCCAAGTGGGGTGTGTGCACCTGCACAGACATGTAAAGAGACACGTGGGTCTTTGTGCTCAGTGGGTGTCTATCCATGTGTCTGTGCATGGAGGTATGCCCACAGGTGTGTGTCTGTGCAGGTCTTTGTTCCTGTGTCTGCACAAGTGTATGCATTTGCCTGTGTACGTGTCTATGTGTGCCTGTGTGTATGTGCGTGCGCGCGCACACTCGCACACTTTGGCCGGGCCTTCCTGCTCTCCTGTGGTCCCTGCTGAGCAGTGTACGGGCTGAAGTGTCCCTCAAGCATCTGCTTGGGGAGGCTGAGGCAGGGAGGGCTGGGCCAGAGTCGCTGTCACTCAAGGAGACACTGTGACGCTCTTGGGCTCTGAGTTCTGGGCCTTCCCACAGGAGCGTGGAACTAGTGCACCAGGTGGACGAGGATGATGCCATCTACCACGTCATCAGCCCTGCCCTCGGCGGTGATGCCAAGCCCCAGGACTTTGTGATCCTGGCCTCCCGGCGGTAGCCTTGTGACAATGGGTGGGTGCCTGCCTGCTGTGGTGGGACGTGGGCGGGCTCCCAGAGAGGGGACAGCAGCTTAGAGTCAGCGCTGTGCTTCCTATTGGCTGTGGGACCCCAGGTACCACTTGGCTTTTCCTGTGGGTAAAACAGGGGACAAGGGATCACACCTCCCCTCTGGTCACTCATGCTCTAAACCAGGAGTGTCTGTCCCTGGGGTGGCAAGGCCATTTCTCACATGGTACCTACTTGGTGTCCATCCTCTGAAAGGCTCATGTTAGTGGAAGGGTGGCAAGTCGGCCAGCTGTGCCCCAGTGAGGACAAATGGCCTCATTTCTGCTGGAAATAGGCACAGCAAGATAAGGCACGAAAACTCCAAAGCCCACCACCACAAGTGTCTGCAGTGGAGGGCTTTTCCACAAAATCCCCAGTGAAGTCACACTGGCTTCTGATGAATTCAGTGCTGCTCACACCACATGGGTGACCCCTCCCTCCAGCCTGGCCCAGAGACAGGCGTGGGGCCTAAGAGTTTATGAGCCTCAGACTCTGGTGTCAGTGCGAGGGGGCTCAGGAGCCTTGGATGGACATGATGGGCTCTCAACTTCTCTCTGTGCCCCTCCCTGCCCTTCTGTTCCAGGGATCCCTATGTCATTGCACTCAGGTCAGTTACGCTGCCCACTCACCGTGCTACGCCAGAGTATAGGCGCGGGGAGACCCTCTGCTCAGGCTTCTGCTTCTGGCGCAAGGGGGAGCAGTTGACAAAGGTGAGGCCGTGACCCCTTTCCCATCCTCCTGGACCCACCCCAAATCCACATTCATGTACAGAGCTCAGTGCTGTCTGGCTCACACAATTCCAGCCCTTGGCCCCATCCCCTGCCTGCCAGCAGGCTCTCTTCTAAGTTGGGGGAACCTAAGAGTGTCAGGCTGAAAGTGAGATCTAATCTCACTGTAATTAAGATCTCATCTGTGTAGAGTAAGTCCAAGGCCACTACAGGGTCTTGGAAAAGCTCTGGACATTCATTATTTACGTACACACCCCTATCATTCTAGGAAGGCTTTAGGTCGTTCTCAGGGCCCATCGAACTGTGCAGGGAGGAGGCTGAGAATGCGCCAGGGTGGGGATACGCAGCTCCCCTCAGCTCACAGCTGCTGCTAGGGCTCTAAGACTTGCCCAGGTAATATACTTTCAGGATGATCCCTGGGCTTAGTTCTAACTTGTCTCTAAGGCCCTAACACGCCTTCTAAACTGGATTCCATACTGGGCTCTGGAGACCCAGTCCCTGTCTGCCAGGGTCTCTGGCTGGTTGGGGAGGCCCATGGTGCAGTGTGTGTGGTGACAGAGGGAAGCTAAGGTTGTGAGCACCCAGAGGAAGGGGCCGGGACACCTGCTGGACGTCACGCCTGCCGGTCCTGTAGCCTTCTAAGACCCCAGGCTGCTGCCGTCCCCGCAGGCAAGCAGGGCTCCCTCCCCACTACCTCCTGTCCCCTGGGCTCCCACCCCTCCCCAGCCCAGCTGCCCTGAGTGTGGCCTTCTGTCCGGCAGGTGTCCTACTACAACCAGGCCACTCCGGGCTTTCTCAACTATGTGACCACCAACGTGGCTGGCCTCTCCTCCGAGTTCTACAACACATTCAAGTCCTGTGAGCAGTTCCTTCTGGACAACCGGAATGATCTGGCCCCCAGCCTCCAGACCCTCTAGGCGCGCTCAGTGGCCACCTCACTCCCACTCCATCCTGCCAAGGACACATGTGCAGTGCTTTGAGAAAGGCAGAGCCATTTATTTCTTCCTGCCTCCCTAATGGGAAGCTTTGACCCCAGGGGTCCTTTCATTCACTGGGTGGTCATTCTGCCAACATCTGCCAACAAGTCTTTGCGGTAACTCTGGGGTAGCCTGTAGTAGACCCGGGTTTTGTCCACGGCCCTGGCTGCGAGCAGTGCTGTCCGCACAGAGGCATAGCTGCCTCCCGTGGAGCTGTGTTCCACTGTGACGGTGGCCCGGGGTGAGGCCGCCAGTAGCCTGGCCACAACTCCAGCCATGCTCCGGCCCAGCGGCCCAGCCTGCAGCTGGAAGGACACAGGTTGCCAGAGACCCTGGCACAGCTCCAGCATGTCTGTGAGCAGCTGTTCCTCATAGCCACTGCCCAGCACCTTCTCAGGCCAGCCTGGTGCCACTGTCACATGGGGGAAAACCTCGGCCACAGCTTTAAGCAACTCCTTGCCAGCCATGTGGTCAGGGACCGCAAAACTCCCATGAGAGACTGTTGCACCGATCCATACAGGCCAAGGAAGGTCGCCCACTTTGGAGATGTGGGCCAGCAGAACCAGAGTTGGCCGAAGTGCTTTCGGCTCTGCTATGTGCAAATGAATGCCCCAGCGTCCAGATTCTGTGGCCAGTTGCAGCAGGCATGACTCCAACAGGATGACAATGCCACCTGAGACACGTACTACGGGCGTAGCATCCCTACCTGCAAGCTTCACGACGCCAACGTTCAGCAGGATCATGCCTTCGTCTGGAAGAGGCAGTGGAGGCAACAGTGTCTGGAGTTCAGTTATCATGTGGGTGTCAAAGGCCCTTGTTAAAGGGGTGGAGGGGTGGTAATGGGTGGCCTAGCAGGAGGAGCTAGTGCCTCTTCTGTCTAGGACAGCGGTTCTCAACCTGTGGGTCGCGATCCCTTTGGGGGACGAACGACCCTTTCAAGGGGTTGGCAGGTACTTGTATGTGGGCGTATCTGCATGTGGGCCTGGAGATGGATAGAGGAGCGGTGTCTTGGTTTTTAAGACCATCAAAAAATATGTGTTTTCCGATGGTCTTAGGTGACCCCTGTGAAAGGTTGAGAACCACTGGTCTAGGAACTGTGGACTAGGTCTGGGCTCTAGGTGGAAGGGCTGCTTTGTAAATGTGCCTGGGGCTCATCAGAATGACGTGAGAAGCAGCCCTGTGGCCGTACCTGCCTCACAGTGTGGCTGAGGGCTCAAAGGTGCTGGGCTGAAGGCCAGGAGCCCCATGCCCTTAGCAACACTGTCTTCCCCCACCTCCTATCCCTGTGTTGTCGTGGTAACAGAGTCCCTGCCCCAAGCAAAGGAAAGCCCCACTGTTTAGCCAGGAGCACAGGGGCTGCAGGTAGACCTCACCAGGGAGTTGCATTGTTGGTGTTATTTTGTTGACCTCGAACTCAGGAACCAGCCACATCACACTCAGACCATCACCCCTGGGGAGCTGGAGAAGAGGGATCAGGCTGCCCCCCGAGTAGTAGCTTCGCTTCCGTGTGGCATTCACTGTGGGGCCCCAAATAGCCAAGATGAAGTGGCCGCCATTCACAGAGTGCCTTCTGTGTGCCACGGCTCTACATGCATTCTCTCTAAGCCTCACAACAACCTACCAGGTAGCTGTAATTTCCCAATTTGTAGATTACAGGAAGTGACTTGCCCAAGGTCCTACAGCCAATCAGCAGAGTTGCTGGGATTGGAACCTCCCCCTCACCTAGATGGCTCCCAGGGCAGGAGTGTTGACTCTGATGGGTTCCCTATGAGATGGCTTAACTGCATGGCCTCCTAGGTTGGGAATGAGGGCTTTGAACAAGGGAACGGGGAGCATCTGGACCACTGATTAGCGGGCAGAGCAGAGGGGCTGCTCTCTGAAATGTTAGAGTAACCCACAGAGGAACTACGCTGCAAGAGAAAGTAATAGGGTTTGGAATTTTCTGGGTTCCAGTCTGAGCTGTGCCGTGTACAAACTGAATGACTGTAAACATTCCTTAACTGCTCTGAACCTAAGTTTTCCAATCTATAAACTGGTGTCTCTGCTTCACGATATGAAGCTTAGCATATGATACCAGGGGCTGGCACACAGTAGGTACTTAAAATGATTACTTCCCCCCATTTCACACAGGGTTGCCCCCTTCCGATACCCTACACTTCCCGCTCTGCTCCACTGCCCTGGGCAGAATCCAGCTCCACTCCCCTTCCCCGCCCTCCCAAGACCACTCCCTACTGGCAAGCTGCTTGAACTGCGAAAGGACAGGCTCGA